CTTCCTTAATTTTGGGCATCAGGTATTTTGTCCCAGCAATGAGAGAAAAGTAACCAAGACAGATTGCTGCGAGTTTGAGGCCATCCTGAGCTACATAGTGAATTCAGTGCCAGTCTGAACTACATAGTGAGACCCTGTCTCAAAAAAAAAAAAAAAAAAGATAGCAATAAATTTTGGGGAGTCTGCAGAGAAAAAGGAACTCTTGTACACTGTTGGTGGGAGTGTAAACTGGTGCAACCACTATGGAAATCAGTGTGGAGCTTCCTCAAAAGTTAAATGTAGACATTCCATTCGAGGCAGCTACTCCCCTCTTTGGCATCTTCCTGAGACAGTTAAGGTCATCATGTTACAGTGACACATGCAAGCCCACGTTTACAGCAGCAGAATCCATGACAGTGAAGTCTTGGAAGGGATCTATACATCCGTCACCGGATGGCGGGATAAAGGAAACGTGGTGTGACACACAGCGCAGTAACCCTCTGCTGTAAAAAAGGTCTAATTTGAGCTGTTTGTAGGAAAATGGATGCTCCTTGAGACCATAATGCTAAGCGAAATACATCACATACAGGTTAAATATTGCATTGTTTCTCTTACATGAGAAATCCAGGGGCTGGGGATTTAGCTCAGCGGCACAGTGCCACCTGGCAAACACAAGGTTGTGAGTTTGATTTCCAGTACTGGAAAAAAAAAAAAAAAAAATTAAATTAAAAAAAAGAGAAATCCAAAGAATAAATAAAGACCAAAAATAAAAGAGAGACAATAGGCAAGAGGGAAGTGGGCTTTTGCAGATGGGAAAGGGAGCTAGGGATGGAGAGAGAGGGGAAAGTGGGGAGGAAAAGGGGAAATGAGAAGAACTAAAAAGAAAATAAAAGAACTAAATTGTGTTCTTGGTTGGTGTATGTACATATACCAACTCCTTATGATGAATTTTTTTTTGGTCTTTTTGAGACTGGGTCTCACTACGCAGTTCTAACTGACCTTGAACTCACTTTGTACCCCAGGATAGCCTCAAACTTACAACAAACTGCCTGTCTCAGCCTTCCAAGTACTGGGATTGCAGGTATGTGCCACCATCCCTGGCCAACCAATGTATTTTTCTGCTTTGTTTTATTTTATTTTATTTTTTTGTTTTATTTTATTTTATTTATTTTTTGTCTTTTTGAGACAGGGTCTTGCTATGCAGTTCAGGCTGGCCTTGAGCTCACTTTGTAGCCCAGCCTGGTCTCGAACTCAAAATGATCCTCCTGCCTCAGCCTCCTAAGTGCTGGGATAACATTTATTTGTTTTTTGAGGCAGAGTCTCAGCATATAGTTCAGCCTCATCTTGAACTCACTATTTTGCCCAAGGTGGCCTCGAACTCATGATGATCCTCCTGACTCAGCCTCCCAAGGTATTATAGGTGTGCGCCCATACCCGGCATGAATGTACTTATTTTTTAAAAACCTACTTTCTTATCATATCATGCTAGAACCTTAGTACAGGCATCTGCCTACTGTATTTATGGTCTGGCTCTCTCCTAACAAAGTGTGCTCACTTGAAAGCAGGGACCAAGGTATGATGTTTTGTGACAAATTCCCCAGTGCCTATGTGCAGGCTTGGTCAGACAGAGGAGGTGGGCAGAAAGTTAAGGAATCCAGGCGCTCATCCTGTCACCCGGTGAGTGCTTTCTGAATACAAATGATGATTTTGAAGCCAGGTGTGGTGGTAAATGCCTGTTGTCCCAGCATTTAGGAGGCTGAGGCAGGAGGATTGCTGTGAGTTTGAGACCAGCATGGCCTACATAGTGACTTCAAGGCAAACCTGAACTACATAGTGAGACCCTGTTTTAGAAAACCAAACAAATACTGGTCTTGGTCTTGACCTACAAGAAGGGACCGGAGTTCATTGGAAGGCCTGGCAGGGACAGACAAATGCAAGAACCATCAACTCCTAGAAGAACAGGGTGAGACTTCATGTAGGGGAAGTACAACTGAACCCCTGGGAGAGGGGTGTAGACAGGGGGCAGAAAAGCAGGGCTGCATTTGTTAGCTTTAGGACCCCGACAGTTTCTCTCCTGCAGCAAAGGGGGTCAGCTTGGGGACGGTCAGCTTGGGGTCGGACTGCCTGGTGCAGCCCCCGCAGCTGTGAGGATGGGTGATAGGAGGTTTGAGGCTACGGGTTGCATCAGAAAAGCCCAAGGTCCTCTCCTCTTCCACTCTGAGGCCTCTTCCTGCTTCTGTCAAGGTCCTCTTTTTTAGTTTTATTTTTTTGAGACAATCCGGCTGTATAGTTCAGGTTGGCCTTGAACTTGCTTATGTAGCCCAGGCTGGCCTTGAACTCATGGCAATGCTCCTGCCTCAACCTCCCTAGTGCTGGGATTATAGGCGCCACCACGGCTGACTCCCTTCCTGCTTCTGGAAGCCTAAACCCCTTTTTTTGCTGGCCAAATGGCCATCGTCCCTGGGCTGCAGATGAGTGCACCACCTTGTCATCCAGACTGGGGAACAGAGGCTTAACCAGGCACAGGGGCTCACCGTGGAGCTGCTCTCGACCTCCAACTCAAACTCGCCTTTGTGGTTTCTCATTTCCAAGTACTCAGGGCCCAGGGGCCTGGTGAAGAGGACAAACCGTTCCCCTGTAGTGAAGACATAAAGTCCAGTTAATGATCAGCCCCTGGGGCAGGGGGGCAGGGGCAGGTCCCCGGTGGAGAGGATCTGTTGTGAGACATCTTTTCTGATTAGACAGAGGATCTGAGCATTCCAGGGGCTGCTACCTGCTGAGGTCTTCAGAGGATGTCACCCTCCCCGGGGGCCGAGAATTCAGGTATGACTCACTGCCATGTCCAGAAAGAGAACACAGGACAGGAGCTGGGGTTTCCTGGGAGTCACTTTCTTTGCAGGCCCTTCAGGGCCTTCCTTCTTGGCTGATTCTCTTCCAGAGATTCAATCACCTCCTTTGGGTCTCCTCCTCTTCCTTCCCCTTCTTATTTCCTCCCTTTGCCGCCTACTTGTGGCATTCATCAGGGCATAGGGCCTCGCTCTTCCCTAGTCTTCTACTGCTGTTCACAGCCTGGTGGTCCCCACATCTGGGTCCAATCTGGATCTTTCCCTCAGTTCATGTCAGCACGGAGCAAGACAGCTTTATACCCACATCCACTCACTCCCCCACTCCCCCACCCCCCCCCCCGCACCTCCACAAACACATCTATCTGCCTCTCTTCTCTTTTCCCATCAGTAGTACCAGCTTGGAGCTCAGACAACTAAAAAAAAAAAGAAAGGAAGAAGAGGAAGAGTACAAAGAAGAAGGCACCACTAGGTGTGGTGGCACAAGCCTGTGATCCCCGCACTTGGGAGGCTGAGACAGAATGACTGTTTCGAGGCCAGTCTGGACTACATTAGCAAGACCATGTCTAAAAACAAAACAAAGCAAGGTTTTTGAGCTGGGTATGGTGGTGTAATCCCAGCAGGCAGGAGGCTGAGGCAGGAGGACTGCCGAGAGTTCAAGGCCAGCCTGGACTACAAAGCAAGACTACCCTGTCTCAAAAAACAAACACTTTTTGTCCTGGGTTGAACTGGAGGTGGGAAAGAGTCTGAATTAATCCAGACTCTTAGCAGTTATTAAAAGGCTACAGGAGACAGGGGTGAGTGAGGGATGAAGTGGGGAGACCTTGATCCAAAGATTCTGAATGTCTGTGATTTTGTGGCTGATACCAGGGATACTTGTGTTGGAGGAGCTGGTGGCTCTGCACAGTGGGCCCGTGGGAAGCCCCTGCAACGCTGGGCTTGTTAACCTGTGTTCTGCACTTGGCTCTGCCTTTGACCTCTGGATCTCAGCCCCTCAGCTGAGGAACAGGACAGGGATGGCGAAAAGGGGCAAGATTATCCAGCGGCTCTTGGCAGCTCAGGCCGCAAGATTTTATCACACCTGAGCTTTTGAGGAAATAAGTAATGGGTCTGAGAACTGACCTTTAGGGGTACACTGTTTTTTTTTTTTGTTTGTTTGTTTGTTTGTTTGTTTTGTGGTACTAGGATTGAACCCATGGCCTTGTACATGCTAAGCAAGCACTGTACTGTTGAACCGCCCCACAGCCTAGGCTGCACTATTAATCCACCTCTCCCACCCCTGTGCGGGCCTGAGAGGGTGCTCACGTGCAATAATTAACTGCCCAGTGGCCTTCGCCCCATCCCAGGCTGCACTCCTGGGCTCCATTCCCACTGCCCACCCCACTGCCCATCTCCTAGGCCACTAAACCTCGGCAACGCCCTGGAAGAAGGCTAGGCGGCGTGGAGCGGAGCAGCAGCTGGAGCCAGCCTAAGAGTCATCTTCTCTCCCAGGTATGTCACTCACTACCCTCTTGGGTTAGAGGCCGCACACCCGGGACTCCTATCGCAGGGTAAAGTATTTGATGGAACTGGGAGGACGTTCTATATCCCTGAAGCCCAGGGAATGCAGAGGTGGAGACTGAGGCCCAGATCAGTGTGGCCTGCCCAAGGTTCAACCGCAAGTTAGTGTCCATCCTGGAACTAGAAGCCCAGGCTCTTGCCATGAGCCCGGCACTGAGTTCTTGGTTCTCCTACTGCAAGTGGGGGTGACCACCAGCGGCAGATGTCTGTTCTGGACTCGCAACCAGAAACGAACCAAAGGGTACTGACCGACAAACACCAAGACGCACGGACCGCCAGTTGGAGTTTAGGACGAGCCTTTATTCCTGGCCAGGGACTGACTGAGAGCCTCCACGCAGGGAAGGTTCAGATCAGTGCCCATCCAGGGACGAGAGCAGTTTTTATACCCTAAAACTGCATCCTGTTTGGCAAACACATGTCACATCTGTAGCAATGAGGGGATTTTCTTTTTTTTATGGCAGGAACAGTACATTCCGAGAATCCGGGAAAAACAATACATTTTGGGAGTCCAGGAAGGGCAGGGCGTTTACAACCAGTTTACAACCATACATTCCAGAAATGGTAAACATGAAGATCTAACCCCACGGCAGGGGTGGGAACTGGGAATTAAACTAGAACCTTTGATGTCTGTGGTGGGGCTTTTACAATGTCACAGCTGGACTCAGATCTGGAGACTAGGAGGGTGGGAGGGGACTTGAGAGGAGTGCCGGTCTGAAGGACTCGATCTCAAGGATTCGGTCTCAAGGACTCGCAGGGAGAGTGCTCTGGCTCGGGAGACCACTGATCAGCTAGAGGTGAGGACAGGACTTTTCCAGCACCCTGCAGCGCGAAGACCAGCAAGGGGACCTGGAGGGGGCAAAAGCTCAAAGTGCTGTGGCCCGGACTCCAGGGCCCAGAGTCACACTTGGGTGGTCGTCCCTGCCGTGACTCGGGGCCTGGCCCTCGGTCCGGGCTCAGTGGGTTCCATATAAATTAAATTTGGTATCACTTAGTGTTCTTTTCCTCCTACAGTTAATCCTCAGAGAAGGAAAGAGTTTGAAGACCATTTGCCAGGCAGGGGTGGAGCGAGGGCCGGGCCTGGCTGGGCTGAACGCCTCAGATCTGCACTTTAAGCCGCCACACTTTGTTTCCCCCTGAGCCGGATCTGAAGAATCACCGGGTGCTCCGGAAGGTACAGATTTCCCTGGGCCGGCCCCTGAGGTTAATGAGTGAGTGCTGGGTCAGCAGAGGCGAGACTGCATCCTGAAGTGAACAGATTAGCAAGTGAGAGAATGAGGACAGCAGGGTGGGAATTCAGTTCCGGGTTTATGGAGCCCCACTGTGCAGAAGGCCTGGAGATGGCTTGGCCAGCGCAGGCTGCAGTGAGAGCCGGGTTAGGAGGCCCTCACCAGGTTCCAAGGGAGCACGTGGGCAAGGCTGAGGCCAGGTACACTTGCAAGCAGGGAGCGTCCGCTTTAGCAACAGACTTGTGTGTGGGAAATGGGCTCAGGGAGCAGAGGTGCCATAAATATTCCGTCGACCTGTGGGAAATGAATTTGGAACATTTTGGGAGAGCCCAGGCACCTGGTGATTGGAATGAAAGGAACAGTCGTCCGCCACAATTCAGTGTTTGAGGTCAAAGGATTGGTACGACGGATAGCGGAGGTCATCCTGTGATACAGGTAGGTGGCCCCGGGCTCCCAACACCCCAGGACTGTTATTACCCCTACTCCACCAGCCTCTGGGCCGGCAGACATTCCCAGGCCACAGAGTCTCCCGCAGAGCTCTCTTGCACCAACCCAAGTAATGCAGCTGAAAGGGGCTGGAATCAAAGTTTAAAACAACAACAGCAAAACTGTGTTGGCTCATGTCTGGAAATAACTGGGATGCTGAGGCAGGAGGATCTACATTTGAGCACAGCTGGGGCAATTTAGTGATTTAGACTGTTTCAAAATAAAAAAGGCAGGCCGGGTGTGGTGTCACATGTCTGTAATCCTAGCACTTGGGAGGCCGAGGCAGAAGAATC